CGATCTGAAAGTAACCTCATTTCTGTCTAGGAGAAATATTTGAGACGTTAAATAGATCTCACTTTTGATTTTTCTTTCCTATGGGAAGACATGTCCAATAAAAAGAGGACATATGGTCACCCTCAGTAACTTACAGACAATTTTTTCACTAAAATCACGATATTATAATATTATGTCTTTTACATCTTTTAGTATTTTAATTTCTAAACACATTGGCCACATTCACTTCCATATGCCCCATTTACTTCCATATATAATATTGTTTATGTCTTTTAAGTCTTTTAGTACTTTAATTTCTTACACATTTTTGCTTTTTTAAAGAAAATAAATTTTCATGGTAATTGACAATGTCGATTATGTCTTGTATTGAACCCTGAATTATTCCTTTAAATTTAAATTGGATTAACCTTAAATCAGAATGAGTTTACTGCTATTCCATAACTCGCTATATATCAAGCATTAGGAGGAATGCATGAGTGGCAGTAAATCCACATGCCACGCTGTGTGTACATTAATGAGGAAAAAAAATTAACTTAAATGATTTTAGCAAATGGCTGCAATATAACAAAGAGTGAAAAATTGAAGGGGGTCTGAATACTTTCCGTACCCACTGTATGTGTTGTCCCTCAATATTTAAGACATCACCATTCAAAAACATTGTAATGGGCAGCTCCTTCCCTAAGGTAGCCATGGTGATCACAGGGGCATCAACCGATGGATAGAGACGCTCTTTGAGCCGTCAGGAATAAAAGAAGAGCAGTTTTGAAGAGGCAATGTGGGGTGCTGGAGAAGGGATTCAGGCCTGAACAAAATAAAATGCCCATAGAAAATGGACTGCTTTCAGAGGTAAAGAGGGGTTGGTCTAATTTGCACAAAGTCTTCTACTTCTCAAACCGGAGCTGACAGCAGACGTTTTTATCATTGAGGAACACACTGCATGGAGAGAAACATTCATTTCAATGTGGAGTCCTTGCCAAGGACAATGGCCCAGCAGGATGGAACATTGCCGTCCTTTTCGGAAAATCAGAGTAAACATCATTCCGCCTTATTTATTTGCTGAGCAAACAACCGTGCCCACGGGAGCTAAACGTGGCTTTTAGATAGAGGCCAGTGATTGTTCAAAATGTAGGTAGAACTGATCTACATAGCTCCTAAAAAGTGCTGTTTTAATCCATGACTTTTATGTACAAGCTTTTCTTAGTTCAGTAAGTTCCAGACAAAAGGTTGAACACATCTACTCATTTATTATTATTTCTATTTTTCATGTTCTTTCATCCATCTTCATGGTACCTTTATGGAAGGCTTTTTAAACAGTATTGAAAGACTTCTGTGCCTGTTTTTTCATTCATTTGGTCCAACTTGCCCCTATAAAATATAACAAAACCCCTTATGAAAGCAAATCAATTGTTATATTTTATGTATTTGTTAAATTGTATTTAAAAAATATTTTATGATAACGTATTTTATAATAAAATTTATTTTTTTATTATAAAATAAATAATATTTAAAAGTCTCTTATGTCTCTATGTTAGAGTTGTAAAATATTAATTTTTAAAAGCCTTTTTAAAGCCTACTCAGTGGAGGCCTGACATTTTTGTGTGAAATCTGGTTATTGATTGCCACTTTGGAGAAAAGTACAACAAACTGTGTCCTCAGGAGGAATGACATCAGTGACACCTGTTCACCTCTCCATCTCCATGCAGAGACAAGCCAAAATCTCACCGGATCTGAATCCAGACATCTCATTCCTCCTGGGAGAACGTGCATTAATAAATCATGGCTTTCCATTCAGTGATGTGCGTGTGTGTGTGTGTGTATGTGTGTGTGTATGTGTGTGTGTGTGTGTGTGTGTGCGCGTGCATGTGTCATCTACTCTTTAGAGCAACATGTTTGTCTCAGGGCTGTTCCGGCTGCTCATCTCACTGACTATTGAGTCTTTTTCTTCATTAAATCTGTGATCAGAATTGATGATTTCAATCACCCGCAAGGCAGTTCAGCTTGGACACTAAAATCACATGCATTTACAGCACAAAGTGAAACCAATCTAAATATGCTTTTCTGATCAAAATAATTTTATTAGATAAAGGCTGAAGAGTTACCTGTATCATAGGCGCTTGATCACAATGCAGACCTAGCAATAAACTCATTATTTGCTATGAATCAAATGTCATTTAGTTTGTTTTTGATGTAAATTTCCCCACAAAACAGAGAGAAATCTTTAGCTGTTTGACTGGAATAGTTTCATTTTCATTAGAGATGCTGCCTGCAGCCCCTGAGATATACAGTATGTGTGGAAGGGGGTGGATGAGTAATTAGATGGCCTCTTCCTCTGATCGTTTGTGCCTCTGTGCAAATAAATAACCTGTGAAAGCAAATAAACAGAGAGGCATCCATCATGAGAGCGTCCCAAAGACAGTGACTGATTTCCGTGCGGGGCTCCTGAGGGAACAGGATACGTGACACTGGCACTTTTATTGTGAGAAATGGCAGCTGCCAGTGAAACAACATGCACATGGGTGACATTATCCCTGAGATGTGAGAGACGCCTGCACTGGATTGGTTAACAGGCAAGTGTGTAGTTACGTGACTCTATATTGATGAACAACATGATAATATTTGTTTCTTTTGAAAAAAAAAAAGGTGTCCTTGGGAATTGATATGGGTTTAAAAATCGAGGTTGTAGCGAAGGGACTAGATGTTTTCTTAGTGTGTGCTGAAGTCACAATGCTAGGTGGTTGTTCTTTTGCACATATTATGCAGATGGAAGAGTGTTCTCGGACGTTATAGGTGGTTGCTAGGGTGTTCTGGGTGTTGCTATACAGCAGGGGTGGCCAACATCGGACCTGGAGAGCCACAGTACTGCAGAGTTTCGATCCAACCCTAATCAAACTCACCTGAACAAGCTAATCAAGGTTACTAGAAAGCTACAGGCAGGTGAGATTTTATCAAGGTTGGAGCAAAACTCTGCAGGACTGTGGCTCTCCAGGACTGACACCACTGCTATAAAGTGCAACAGTCAGGTCTGGAAGTAAAAATCCCATTCATTTTATCCAAATTAGGGGATTTGATTTTTAACGATAATGTGATAACAATCAAAGACAGATCTAAGAGGTTAGTCCATGGAATATGGTTTTGTTAAGGTTATCAGCCTGCATTATTTTATCTAAATACTACTAATAATAATCATGTTCAACAGCAGAATTCCAGGTGAAAAAATACATTACATATGATTCTGGTAAAAAAAAAAAAAACACCAATCAAAGAATCGCGATAAGCAATCACACTAAGAGTTGTTTGGCACTTACCCAACCCTAGAAGCACTGTGCCCTCAAACTACTTAAATATTTGTATGCATAATATGCATATTTTGCAAGATATGTAATATATATATATATATATATATACAGTATATATATATAAACATCTTTAATTCAGTAGTTATATGTTTATATATTGTTTTTAAATTAATTACACCATGAGCAATTCTTCATGGGATTGCAGTTATTTCCCTCATTAAAGCTGTTAAAAGGACAGTCGACCCAAAATGAAAATTCTGTCATTATTTACTCACCCAGAGTCAAAATTTTTATTTTTGGGTGAACTATCCCTATAAGTACACTGACGGTACCTTTGTCTTTTATCTCATTTTCAAATACTTATTTGCTTCAAATCAATGTTTGTAACTCTTAAACAAAGACTTAAAAAAAAATCCCTATGGGAAAAAGAAAAGCCATTGAAAAAGCGGACAGGCACTCTTGCACACTGCTGCTAAGTGGTTACTTACTGGTAAGTCAAAAGTCTCACAGATTATGGCCCCTTCATTGCAATTTCACGAGATTTTTTCAATCGTTTAAATTTTTCAAAATGTGAAAATTTGTAAGATTAGAAAAATAACAGAACATATGTCCTCAATAAGCCACATAATAGTACTGTTAGTGAATATAATATATTGAATATATATATATATGTGTATATATATATATATATATATATATTGAATATAATGGTAACAAAATGTTTGCAATATAATTTAATTCTTACTTAATTATTGCCACAACCCTTCCACTGAAGCCACACCTCTTCTGTATGCACTTACCCAAAACACTTTCTATAAATGAACTTTTAACTCAACTTTTCTTCTTTTTTAACTTCAGCATGTACTCTATTTTACTTGATTTTTATCTCAGCAATACTGCAAATTGTTGACTTCTGTATGAAAAAAATTCACTTTGGATGAAAAGTTTAATTTAAATTTAATTTAAATATTTATTTAAATACATTTACATTTTTGTATCACTTACATATTTAAATACATTTAAATAATTTTATTTATTTATTTATTTATTTATCCCTCTAAGTTCATCTGTATGCATCTAATTGTGTGCCACTTTCTTTCTTTTTTTGGAAAGTTGTTTCATGGAGCACTCAACTTTGCAGTTTGTTCGTGCCCCTGTTAACAGCTCTCTGCTCTCCAGTGCTTCTGATAGTTGCCAGCCCAATAAATACTGTCTCTGTACCCATCCAGTCCCCTGCCCTCCTGCTCTAAGACTGATCCCTTATCCCCACCCCTTCTTTTCTCTCGTCGGTGCCAGACCCTCAGCTTTAGAACCCATGTGAATAGGTGAAACTCTGAGGCTCCAACAGATGGCCAGAGCTGCCCTGATTCAGTCACACTGCTGCCAGATGAATACCAGCTCAGAGAGCCCAGAAAGAGTGGAAAAAAAGGAGTTTGAGGAGAGCAAAAGAGAAATAGAGAGAGTGATAGAGTTTCCCCCATGTGTGTGGGAGAATAAGGGGAAACAGGAACGTGTTAATATGCATGAGGGGAAGAGGAACTGTGTGAGAGAGGGAAAGAAAGACAACAAGAGAGGGGAGTGGACGATATTGAATTGTAGTTTGAGGGACATCTTTCCCTCCCACCCTCTTTTTATTTATCTGCTATGGAACCACGCCTCCTTCCTTTCACCTCTCCATGTGTCTATATCAGGGGACCGGCTATGAGAGAGCCCACTTGTACGGCTGGCAGAGGGGGAGTCAAGTCAGAGGTGGTCTGGCAAAGACCGAACAGGTGACGGATCATCATATCCCTGGCTTTAACGCCTCCTGTAGTTGCGCTTTTCTTCAGGAAGGATTCAGAGGTGGGCATCAGTGAGGTATGTGCCTTTGTCCCTAAGTATTGCTTTGTACCACCTCCTCTGTCAGACTGACAACAGTAATGAATGTACAGGTATATTCCGCCATTGTTAAAGCAGATTATAATTTTTTTAAGCAAAAAATCTGCAATTCACTGTATATCTGAAATTACTTAACTGATATTTTGTATTCATTTTTCTTGAATGCTAATAAAATGCCTAAATTTATGTCTTAAAATCATTGCCATTGAGGGATTCAGATAGTTGCCTGTTGTGATTCTTGGATTTCTTTCCATTTATTAAACCTTTTTAGGGTTGTTTCCTCTAATCTTCTCACACTCTTCATGTTGGTGTCTCTATAGTTTTTAGGTTTTCATATCTCAAACGTTTGTCCCTCATACTCGCAGTCTCACTGAACTGGTGCTTACGACGTTTGAGTCGGGTTTGTGTGTGATTTTGGCCCTTTTAAGGACTTTAATAAGAGACTGTCGTCACCCCCTTTAAAATGCTACATGACTCACATTGCATTTTTGATGGTGAAGAGCTGCTCTCTGGGTCAAGCAGGTCTCTGGAAACAAGTGATGTTTGGAGTGCTAGGGATTCGCTGGGTAAAATATGCATCAATGAGCGTGGGCTTGTGTTTGCTGTGTGAGGCTATGAGGTAATGATAAAGGTGATGGGGGCTGAGAGATCTGTGCCTTAGTCATTCATTATTTAATGTGCACTCTGTCTCTGCTCAGCCCCATAACAACTGGCCTCCTTTTCCTCTTCTGCTGTCTGAACCAGAACTGTGGACCAGGTCCTTTGACGTTTAGTGCATCAGACCTGTAAAAATGAGTTCACATGGTCAGTGTCACATATTTGCTTCTTTGATTAGTGTCCTAGAAATCGTGCAGTATTAAGAAAAAAAAATCTTATTCAGTTTACATTATAATGATTTAGAATCATTTTGGACCCCTTACACAATGCATCCAAAGCATATTCTTTCTTTTTTTCAAAGATTTCTTAAAAGTAGATCAGCAGTAACTTTAGAGCTGAGTGAAACTGCTCATTGGGGACCTCTGTCTGACAGCACAAAAAGGGAATTTGATCTCAATTTTCCAATTCCTTAGTGGGAGCTATTTAGGGTTCATTTGCATATGTCCGTCCCAGCCTCAATAGGGTTCTCATATGTTGTGATGATTTGATCCAATTTTTGAAAGGAATGCAAAAATAGATGGGTTTGTTTCTCCCAGTCTTCTCAAACTCCTCATGTTGGTGTCACCATTGTTCATGAGAAGTCATCATAACTGTACATCCCAGCTTCCACTATTTCACAATTTTTGTCCATTTTAAACTTAAACCTAACCATGAAGGCCCACGCTAGCCAAATCCCTAATCTAACCATGATTGTACCTGGAAAAACATATTAAAGTTATGTTTTCATTTGATCCAAGTCACACAGTATCATATGATTTCGCCATCAGCTGTCATGAGTGTGTTAGAAAGGTTTAAGCTTGTAATTGACAGACTGGAATAGATTTGAAAACTGATACAAATCAGTAGAAATCATTGACTTTTCTCAAGGTTAAATTGCTGAGAAGTCGAGTTTTATTGGCACTTTTAACCTTTAGTGTAAGTACAAGAATTAATACGTAACCGCAAACTGAGTTTGAGAACTGAGTCAGATGTTGTGGTCAAATGAGCTCAGTAAAATTATGGTAAGCAGTGAACAGCGCTGTGCACATATTATTTATCTACTTGTATATTATCCCAAAAATTGAGCAAGATTTGATGGGATGTGTAAAAAAAATAAATAATTTGTCCTCCTCATTTCTCTCAACATCTCTCATGAAAACCATCCATCGCACCCCAAAACATCCGAGTGATTTTTTTTGTCAAAGAGTCTGGACACTAGACAAATCCGAACCAGCCCAGAGCATGTCTATGTGAGACACAAAATCTAATTTTCATGAGCTGCTGAGAGCAAAACAAAGCCTGATATGAATCTAAAGTATAATTTGAGCCTGGTGCCCACCGTCTTAAATGTTAATGCTGACTGGAAGTCTTTGATGAGTGATTTGGAGTACAGCACTTCTGGCGGTGCCCTCTGAGGCAGAGAGTGATGTGAATGCATTAATACAGAGCTGTGCCAAGATACGGCAGGTGTCCAACCGAGATCTGTAATTACATCCAGCCAAGGATATGGAGAGCATCAATCTTAGATCAGAATCAGAATTTGTAATCAAAAAAAATGTTTTTTTTTCAGTCAAGATAAAATGTGTGTTTACCTCACTAATCAGATAACTCGTGAATGTTTTCAATGATAATATGGCATTGCTACAGGAATACCTGTCTCATTACTCATCACTCAGACTCTTCCCACTGTAGACCACACCTCTCTCCCATCAGCCAAGAACATTCAGTACTAGAATCTATTTCTCGTCTCATATAACATAAACATCTGTCACATCAACAGTAACTGGCTCATTGGTGCTCAGATGAAATGAGTATATTGGATATGAATGTAGGAGTTTAGAGTTCGGGCACCCTTAAATTTACATTGAAAGAGAGAGTTTACCCCAAAATGAGAAATCGATTCAAACCTGTATGACTTTAATTTTCTTCAGATAACAAAAGATGTTGTGAAGTATTTTCCAGTTGTTTTTGTCCATGCAATGGAAGTCACTTGGATTCAAAACAACATTGGACCCCAAAGACTTTCAATTTATGGACAAACAAACTATCCTTTTAAGACTTTTAGCAGATGTTATTATCCAGAAATGCTCCTAAAGTCAAGTATCATCACAAATAAGACCATTGTGATCAACAAGCTAGTACACCTACACAAAAATGATATAGGATTTACTTCGAAACAGTTCTCACTCAGAAATTGCTAGTAAATTTCACAATTAGAAAGAAATGTCATGTAACACATTGAATTAAACATGACATTTTGAAGTAGAAAAACTGAAAAAGTATTTTATTGTAAAACCAATAATCTTTTTATATATATATATAACTTTGAAAAATCTTTTTTTTTTTACAATGTATGCTAATAAAGATACAAGAAACCTTTCTTTTATGAGGTCCTTGTGTCAATATGGACTGGATGTAGGAACATGCTTGACCATTGACGATCTTTAGGTGTTTTGAATTGATTTTAGCTGGAATAGGGAAGCAGAGGAGGGAAAATAGCAGTGGTGTGATGTGAAAGTACTTGGGAAGGTTCAATAGGGTGGCTGCAGCATTTGGGATGAGATGCAGAGGTTTGATTACGTACCCTGGGAGACATTTGTGACAGTCATTGGGACTAATGGTGAACTGCACAAGAAAGGAGATTACAGTGACCTTAAAGTGATCTGAAGTACTTATGGGCTTACAGAGAGTCAGAACATTGAGAGTTTTCTGAGTGATGCTATGGATATTCATTGAATACTGTTTTTAAAACATTGTTCATATACTCTGCATGTAAAGATGTGTCTTTTTGCTCATTTTTAAAATAGCATTTCTTTTCCTTATTCTTGACGTTCTCCTCAATCACTCTCCCTCAGGGTTCTCCCAACTGAGTTTTAAAGGTTCTCGCTCAGACTTCAGCTCACATCTACCCATTACTCTCTCTGGCTTTCTCTCGCACGCCGTATCTATCTCTCACTCCCTCAGGAGCTCAGCAGGCTTTGTGGCTGCTTATTAACTTTTATGGAATTATACATTTCTGAAATTGGATTTTCCCAACTCACTAAAGAAAGCAGATTAGCTGACTACTCTTACATGCACCGGACTTTTTCTGGCCTAACTTGAATGTTTGAATGTGGACAATTAGTTTAGATGGCAGGTTTATCTTTCCAGTAGTTTTTTTTCGTCTTCTTCTTCTCTAGTAGAATCAAATCACATAGATGAACGCTTGGGGATAAAATTCAATGTTTGTTTTTCTCAAACAAAAATTCAAGTGGACTAAAGGGCATTTTACATTAGACAGTTAGTGTGCACTGTGAGTTTATAGTGTGAACGTATTTTTACTTGCTTTACTTTCACAGTTATCTTACAATATTGTAATACGAAATTTAATTTTATTCAATTTAATTACAATTTAATTGTAATACAACCATTTATTACAATTTAAATAAATAATAAATTAATTACATTAAATTAAAACATTAATTTTACTGTGACTTCATTCTGAATAGTTCCACCCCCAAATAATATCACCCCCAGTACTGTTTATGAATGATTATTTTATTTCTGTTCTATAACATACAATATTGCTGATGTAGACTGCAAATTATAATCAGACATCAGAGTCAATAATTACTGTTAAATCTATTAAGATCCTGGCAAATTTTCAGTGTGATGATTAGAAAGATACAAAATAGCTATGCAGGAATCCCCAAAAATCAGAGGGTTCTACACTAACTCAAGGGAGATTCTTCGTGGGCACACATCAAGATTTTAACTGGGTAAATGAAAGGCTTCTGGAATCAACTGAGAGAGATCTGTACCAGGCAGAATCAAACAAACATGGCCTGAGGGCCAGTCTGCACCAAAACTGATCTGAAAGCACCGATAAAGCTCCCAATGCATATAGGCTACATATCTCTCATAAATTAGAACCAATGAGTTGGTGATGTGCAGTGCACATTTCTGACATTAATATATTAAACTTGTTTTTGTCCTTTCTCCAGATTTTTTATCTGATAATAATATTAGTGTTTCACTGCTAAGCAAATATACACAATATTTTTGAAGGCATGGGTTATCTTAAAGTATTATATATAAATATTTTGATAATTTAAATATAAAAATATATAAAAAGCAAAACAAACATTTATTCTAAATCATTATAGTTTTTCTATTGATGTTATTGTTATTTAATAGTTCTGCTCAGCTGTTATGTTGGAGGATTGGATTTATCATGATGTCATCATAGCAGATGTGTGAAGGTGGAGTGATGACTTCGAGTGTCAGCTGTTAAGTATGAATCATGGTAAATGGCATCTGTGAAAAGACAGATTCATATCTGAGGGAAGTGTTTACTTGTAATG